CCTTTAAATTCCCTATCATACAGTATATGCAAGTAGGGATGTGTCTCAAGACTTGGGGAACGCTTACTGAAAATACAGAAGACGTTTTCTAATTCTTTTTCGGTTGCTACTCTCACCTCCTCATGTAATTTCAGCTATCACTTCTATGGTGATAAATATAAAGCAACATCTCACTCAAGGATCAGACCTTTTAATGAAAAGATCTCATGTAGATCTTTATTCTGTAAGACTTCTTTAAATTGAAATGCTACTGTATATTGACAATCAATACATTTTAAACAAAACTCTACATTGCACTTCAACTTTACTTTCTATTTTTGACTTGTTCTTCTGTTCCTATGGACATTTTTGGAAAGGTTTTATTTCTCCTTTTCCTCTTAGGTTTGATATAATGATGATGCAATTCATTCTCAAACCTTTCTCCTAATGCTATATACAATAAACTAATTCTTATCTGCCAGATAATTTAATACATGGTTTTATATTATCCTGTCTTCTCACTGTTTAATGTGTATATAACACCTTTTCAATTGATCTACAAACCCTTTAGAAATATAATATCCTTTGTATGATATAGAGTTCTCAAAATATAAAAATTTATAAAATTCTTAGCTACTGATTCAGTAAAAAAATCACCAGTGCTAAAATCCACTTTCTTTATCCTGTCATTTTCTGTTACAGAATTATATATACAGAGCATACTCAGTTTTGAAATAACACTCTTGATTTTACTTGCCTTGTCCTCCAAGTGCAATTCTAAAAAGCGTAGATAAGCCACAGGTGCAAATGCATCAGCTGAATGTATGACTACTTCGGATGAATCCCTAAAATACAAAAGTTATATATTACATTTATTTATATAACCTACATATAGGTTATGGCAAATCATTCCAGCTGCTGACTAGAAAAGACCAAAAATCCTTTTCACTAGTGTATAATGTATTATTCATATGTATTTTTAAAAATCCAACACGTAATTAGGAAAACGATCAAGAATACTAACCCTTTAGGAAACAATAATGAAGCTTTTCATCTTTACTTGGACACACTGTTCAACTTTTAGATTCACTCAAAGCTCTCTAAATAATTTTGAGACTTAAACTTCTGTTCAATTGCATTTTCACAATTTTTTTGGATATGGGCTAAGAATTAAACATTAGAGCTTTATCTTCATTATTCTTTTCATTTTCAAGAGGTAATTCATTCAGTGTTTCACACAAAATCTCAATTATCCTTCACAAAAGAAGTTCTGGTGATGGTTTTTAAGCTTTAGATGAACTCTTCACACTGCAATATCGTTGCTATTAAAATTGATTGTCTGACATAGTAATTACCACATTCAGGTAAAATGGTATGAACTGCTTGCTGGCACCATATGGATACATGTAAATTAACTCAAGTTTTATCAAAGATACCCTGTAAAGCACATATGAATAACTAAGATTATGTGTGAAACTCTCATAACTAATTATTTTTTATTGTTTATTGAGTGAGCAATGTTTTGCATTTCAACTGAAAATTTAAAAATAGAAATTCCTCATTTCTCTTTAATACCTTGGGAAATCGTTCCATTGCTTATATTAATAGATTATTAGATTTTGATCATTGTAGTACAGCAGAGCAAATCCTTACTTTGACTTTTTGCCACTAATCTAAATAAATACATTCTTGATTCAACTCTTGTGATACAAAGTTACTCAGCAACAATAGAGATCTCAAAATATTTGGCTCTAAAATATTAAATTTTCATGAGCAACATATGTTTACTTTCTACTTGAAAGATGCAAGATTGAGAAAAAAGTATGTTTGATGATTTAAAAAAAATTATCATTTATGAACTTTTGCTATAAAATGTCTATCTTGTGAATGCTTAGGAAGAATAACATTGAAAGGGACTTCTATGACATTAAAGGAAAAGCAACTTATAATAGAAATAGAATCACTGAAGGGTCAAGATCCTGATGGAAAGATGTATCTTGCTTTTACAGGCCACATCTACCAAAAGACTTCTTCAGGTATGATGAGGAGGAGGAAAAAAGAAGTCCAAAGGAGCCTTCTTGCTTGCTATCAGCTGTTCCTCTGGCTTGACTCCCATGTGGTTTTTTAGCCCTAGCCTTGCTGTTTCTTCATTTTCTCAGGATTGTCTGCCCCACACGTATTTTGGCTCCTCAATTAGAGTCAAATCTCTATTCCTGTTCATGATCTTGCTCATACCTTAAAATTTAATCTCTGTTCCTGCTGTTGGCCTTAGAAATTGACCCTGAACTTTAACTGTAACTAGTCTAGGCAGCTTGGTTTTGATATTCCTGACAACAGAGTTCACTAAAATTATAATTAACCTGAACCAATACTATCTCTGTAGAATGGATTTCAGAGCCTCCCTTCTCATGGCTGTTATCCCCCACAGAAACAGGACGACAGAAAATAACTTACTTAATTGATGTAATTACTGAATTCTGAATCAAGATTGTTATCCAGAGAGAATATGTAATATTCTCAGCACTAACTGATGATGACTGCAATTTTTATGGATTTTGTTAAATCCATAATCTTTAATTGACTGGGCGACTAGACTGCAAAGGAACAGTTTTTAGTTTTACACAGAATAATGCCACTATTATTCTTTCTTTTGTAAACTATCACCTGACACTCAACTTTCAAGATCTCTGTTTTCTGTTTGCTTCATGGATTTCTCTTTATCTTAAAATGTAATAAATTTGCCAGAATTTATCTCTGCCAGGATTTCTGCCAGAATATCCTCAGATTAACCCAGAAAATTAGGACCAATCATGGAAGCAAAATGACCTTCCAGTTGGTTGTCCTTCTCTCCTTTCCCTATTAATATGCGTAATCAGAGTGATGGTTACCACCTCTCACACTGTTCAGGCTTTTCCACAGCCAGGAATTTGCTTATGTTCCCTTTCATTGATGTGTAAGGCTCACTCCTACTTACAACATCAAAAGGGCAGCTGAGTCTGGCCTGAGACACTCTTTCCTGATAAGAAGCTCCTGAGATGTGGAGTCAGGCCCTACCTCTCACCTCGAAAGAAAAATAAAACTGGTATTCTCTCTTGAAACTCAGCCATGGTCTTTGTTCCCACTTCTCCCATAAAAAGACAACTGCGGTAGCTGGGGGCTGAGGCACTGCTTACCTCTCTTGTTCAAACATATGGTTTCTGTATTCATTAAAATGTACACAGATATTCCCTATGGATTCACACTTATCCTTGCAGACATCTCAAATGTTATTTCCATGAAGCCTTTCCTAACAGCCTCAGATGGTGCTAGTTTTCTCTTGTAGGTGTTTCAGTACTCCATTTATAGCCTTTTCACAACATGTCCATACGTTTTACATACATATTTGTGTGCCTGTCTTCCTTCTGAGAGAGGGGCCAGTTTTGTTCTTTTGTTGATTGTCCCTGTTCCACCCTACCCTAGCCTAGTGCAGAGTACACTGCCTGGTTATTGCTTAGACATTTGTTGTACAAATAACTACATAGCCACTCACTCACTGACTCACTCATAAAGGCTGTCAGTCTCGCAAACTCTATTTGTGGCAAGTGACCTATACAGGTATGCCATTTCTTATCTTTTATACCATATTTTACTGTCCCTTTTCTATGTTTCAATACACAAATACCTACCATTGTGTTAGAACTGCCTATAGCATTCAGTATAGTAACAGGCTGTACATGCTTGTAGCCCAGGAGCAGCAGGCTACACCACACAGCCTGGGTGTACAGTGGGATATACCTTCTAGGTTTGTGTAAGCACACTCTACCATGTCTGCACAAAGACAAAGCAGTCTAATGATGCATATCTCAGAATACATCCCTGTCATCATATGATGCCTGGCTATATATACTTTCTCATACATGCATAATGCACATATTTATGTATACACACATACATTCCAATAATACCATAGAACATCTCTAGCATAATAAAAATAAAGGCTAGTAGGCCTGAAATTTTAAATACAAGGAAAACAGTTTATAAATTTAAATAAATTCCCAGGTGCTACAGAAAAAATGGGAGAAGGCATGTAAGGTAAAGTCCTTGGTTTATTCTCACCTTGAAACACCACATTCTGCTGCTTAGCTCTGAGTCATGCCTGGGAGC